GTTTTCGGCTTGTGTGGTCCGCCTCACTCTGTTCCACCACTCCCAACTTGTCCGGACCTCATCCGCCACTTCCTTCCTCCACCGCCGTGCCCCGGGCGAGGCCTCGCCCGATAGTGTCCTGCCTTGTGTGAACCGGCCGGCGACTGCCTGGTGAGTTCCTGGCGTCAGCGTAGTGCGCGCGCCTTGCTTCTCCGTCAAACGACCTCCATCAGGTGAGCGCATAAGAGTTTGCTTTCTCGCGTCATGCCTCATGGCTGTGGTGATGGCGTGTCGTATGGATGATCAGTGGAGATTAATGCATGGTGTGTTTCGATGCAGTGTGTGTTCTCATACGCCTCCCTTCGTCATATCTGTCCCTTTTTTAAGAGGTCTTTGAGGAGGGGGTTGTCGAGGAGACGGCGGCGCAGGAGACGGCAGACGAGGGAGAGGAGGGGGCCAGCGAGGAGACGCCCTTCCAGCGGGCGTGGAGGGAGACTTTTGAGACAAGCCAACGGCGCGAGCGGCTCAGGCAGCAGGTCAGCTGCACCCACAATGCCCCATTCGATTGGAAGCTCTCAACTTTCTAATGGTGTCCTGGTTGGCTTCTCAGTTCAAAAACAAGACAAAGGCGTTCGAGGACCGACTGCGCGAGAGTTCCCACCGACACCTCCGCAAGGTCGCCGGCAGCGGCTACAGGAAGCCCCAGCCCAAGCTGCCCTCGGTGCCGGAGCAGACGAGAGGTGCGCTGAGAGGATACGTCGAAAGCCAAGCCGTGTGCCTGTCCTTCACTGTCTGTTTCTGTGTCTCTCTCAGCCAAGAAGATCGTGCCCCCAAGGAAGGCGACGCTGGACGGCACGCTGCTGCCGGGAGCGAGGCCACCTGCCCCAAAACCGTTCCTGGTGGGTGTTGCGCGCCGCCCCCTGGACGGAACATTTGGCCCGCCTCCCACCTTCAAGCCCTATAAAAGGAGCTCCGGTGTTTCCGATGACGAGATCTACAGGGCCATTCTCGTCACAATTGTGTCATGTGTGTGATCAGGGAAAGCGAACGACGAGCGGCAGCCCAGGACGGTCCAACTTTGAGCTCTCAGTTCCCTCCACCCTCTCCCTGACCACCAGCCTTTCAACCCTCCAACTTGTGGAGGAGAGAGAGGAGGAGACGGTTAGCGAGGAGGAGCACCAGCCGGCGGCAACAGAGGGCTGCCGAACGCCGCCCGCACGTCTGCTGCCCCGACGCAGCACCTCCAGCGGCGCCCTGGTGCTCGAGGACCCCGATGAGAGGCTGCTGGCGGAGATGCTCGAGGTGACTAGGAGAGTGGGCCAGTTCATGCAGGAGGTGAGCTGCACCGTCAACGCCACCGTTATGTTAAAAGCTTTTGACTTTCGATGGTGTCTTGGTGGCTTCTCAGTTTGCGGCCAAGGGCAAGACGTTCCGGGAGCGCCTGCAGAGGGTTCGCCACAGCCACCTCGACCAGGCGACTGGGAGCCGCCTCAGGGTGGCTTCTCGGGACAAGAAGCCCTGTCTGCCGCCGGTGCCCGAGAAGACGCCCGGTATGCTAAGAGGATGCGTGCAGGCAGCGTTGCGCCTGGCCATCATGCATTAAGTGTCTGCTTATGTGTGTCTCTCTCAGCCAAGGAGGAGACACTGTCCAAGCAGAAGATGCTGGACGGCAAGACCCCGCTCCCATGGCGCCCACCCTTCCTCGTCGGCCTCCCCCGCCGTCCCCCTGACGGGACATTTGGCCCACCCCCGACAGTCACGCGGCCCAAGCCGCCCAAGCGGCCCAAGAAGAGATCAAGTACGTCCGATTAGAAAATCTGCAGATACAAATCTCTTCACAAACGTTTTCTGCATGTCTGATGATCAGAGAAAGCCCTCGATAAAGAGCAGCCCACGACCGGCCACATCTGATGCTGTGGAGGAGGGTTTAGGGAGTGGGGAGGGAGGGTGGGGGGGCTGTGTTGTGTCTGTCTGTGGTGGATTTCGGCCGTCCAGGGGGCGCGTTTTCACGAATCAGTATGTAATACGCATTCACACACAGGTGTGTGCGCGGCTCGTATGTGTGTGTGTCCATGCAGGATCGGTGTCTACATTTTATATTTGGCGTGTCTCTTATGGCGGGAGCATCGTCACCGGCAGGGCAAGGGCCATCCCAACATCGTGAGCATCGTGGTACGGACACTAACGAGACGACGACAATGCGTGGTGGGATATCATGACACATCCATCGCTGTGTTGTGTGTGCAGGGATGGGAGTTCCGGAGCGGCTCTACATAACCTGCGCGGAGATAACAGAAGCTGAGAAGCGAAGAAGCTTGTCAGCTGTCCCCTGTCGCGAGCACAGTGAGCCCATTGTTGCGTTGCGACCGCCGCAGCTGCCGCACACTCAAGAATGTCACCATGAGAACGGATGTTGCTTCGGGGGAGGTAAGGAGGGCACTGCACTCAGAAAGAAAGGCACTGCAGAATGCCCGTCTGAGTCATCGAATGGTGTTGTCTCCAGGGGGAGGAGGTTTTGTCAGAGGAGTCCGCCAGACTGCCAGAGGGGCTGCTACTCAGCCGCATGCAGCCCCCGTGTGCAGCAGCTCTGCGTAAGAGACACGGCATCAACACGACGGCCCTCTTTTCAACATGCAGTACTTACGCAGTGTGTGGCCGTGTTAACTGTGTGTGCAGGATGCCCTGTGCACCAAGCAGTGCCACCGCATGTTCGAGCTGCAGCAGGAATGGACCTCCACCAAAGCCAGCTCATGCACCGTGGGT